TTGACTGATCGGGTAGTTTGGTACCCGATTTTGCGTTTTGTGCAATGCGAATAGTTTGTTCGTTTTTTGTAAAGATGATAATGGTATGGATTTGTACGGGCACTCAGGCCCCTTGGATTTTTAGCGATTGATATGCAGACGCTCGCTGGTATGATTTGCTTGGCAGTTTTGAGTTGATCGTATTTGCGGTTCTTTGTCGTACTTGGGCGATTCGAAAATTGATTTCGGTGATCATTTTAGTACTTTATGTTGACCTGGTCGAATAATTTGGCATCCGGTCTTTGGCCGTGTTTCTCGTAGGAATACATTTTTGGATACTAGACATGAATGAGCTTCGAGCTCTTTGTCTAAGTGAGCTTTTAGCTCTTTGTTCGATTGAGCCTTGGGCTCTTTATTCTAGTGAGCTTTGAGCTCTTTATGCCATGCAGGAGTGTATGCGTAATATGAGCATGAGATGAATGCGTGAGTTTATGATAAATGTATGTGATGGAGGTTCGATGCTCCTAGCGCCTTGAATCTTCCTTGTTATGCGAATGAATGTCTTTCCTAGACTAGTTAGCGTTGTTCGGTTGTGGGGTCGATTATCCCCGTATGATTTCGTTCATTTTGCACCGAATAAATTTACGTTATCCGGTCGTTTACCCTTATTGGGTTTTACTCATTTTTTGCGCCGGACAGATTTATATTGTCCGGACTTATTACCTTAACGAGGTAATATTTACGCCGAAAAAATTTATGTTGTCCAGTCGTTTTCATTTTGCGCCGGCCAGACGTGTTACCCTAATGGGGTCTCATTAGATACGCCAGACAAATTTACGTTGTCCGATCATTTTACCCTAATAGGATTTCGTTTGTTTTTCGTAACTCGTAGTTCTATGGCATTGCAGCCTCGTGACTCATAGGTTCAGTCAGAATCGAGGCTCTATGGCGAGTGAAATATAGATGTCGATTCAGCCGGAGTTGAGGCTCTACGACAATGAAACTTGGATGTCGGCTCAACCAGAGTTGAGGCTCTACGACGAGGAAATATAAATGTTGACTCAGCCGGAGTCGAGACTCTACGGCGAGGTAATATAAATGTCGACTCAGCCGAAGTCGAGACTCTACGGTGAGGTAATACAGATGTCGACTCAGCCGGAGTCGAGACTTTACGGCGCGGAAATATAAATGTCGACTCAGCCAGAGTCGAGACTCTACGGCGAGGAAATATAGATGTCGACTCAGCCGAAGTCGAGACTCTACGGCAAGGAAATATAGATGTCGACTCAGCCGGAGTCGAGACTCTACGACGAGGAAATATAAATGTCGACTTAGCCAGAGTCGAGACTCTACGGCAAGGAAATATAGATGTCGACTCAGCTGGAGTCGAGACTCTACGACAAGGAAATATAGATGTCGACTTAGCCGGAGTCGAGACTCTACAGCGAGGTAATATGAATGTCGACTCAGCCAGAGTCGAGACTCTACGACGAGGTAATATGAATGTCGACTCAGCAGGAGTCGAGACTCTACGGCGAGGTAATATAAATGTCGACTCAGCCGGAGTCGACACTCTACGGCGACGAAATATAAATGTCGACTCAGCCGGAGTCGAGACTCTACGGCGAGGAAATATAAATGTCGACTCAGCCGGAGTCGAGACTCTACGGCGAGGAAATATAAATTTCGACTCAGCCGGAGTCGAGACTCTACGGTGAAAAAATATAAATGTCGACTCAGCTGGAGTCGAGGCTCTACGGCGAGGAACTATAAATGTCGACTCAGTCAGAGTCGAGACTTTACGGCGAGGAAATATAAATGTCGACTCAGCCGGAGTCGAGGCTTTACGGCGAGGTAATATAGATGTCGACTTAGTCGGAGTCGAGACTCTACGGCGAGGAAATATAGATGTCGACTCAGCCGTAGTCGAGGCTCTAGGCCAGGAATGTGGACGTCATCTCTGGCATAAGTATATTTGGCCTCGGTGTTGATAAATGAACTCGACCTCGTCGTAGGTAAGTGAATTCGGCCCCGACATTGATAAATGGGGTTGAAAACAAGAAAATGATGAATCGGTCCGGTGAGGTTGGGCGTGTCTGCGAACGAATAATAAATCGGCCCGGTAGAGTTGGGGCTCGTCGGCGGGCGGGGTGGAGATGTTGGCCTGGCCGAAGCGAGGGCTTAACGGCAGGCGAAATAATAGAGTTGGCCCGACAGAGCAGGGACTCGTCGCCAGGCTAGATGGAGACATCGCATGGCCGGAGCGAGAGCTCAACGGCGGGTGAAATAATGACGTCGACCTATCAATGTAGGCCAGATGATTGTTTCGTCGACAATCAGCTTGGTGGTCCGTGATCAGATCTTGATTTCGGGCTTGGCCATGATGATGTTGCTCGGCATTTTTCAGATCAGGTGATATGTCGGTCGGTTTTGTTCCACTCGCGGATTCTAGCACACTGAGTGGAGACGTGTTCGTCTCAATTATGGTTGATCACCTTTAGTTCGGCCCGCTGGTGGTTGTCGGTTCGGCGGATTGATTCTAACGTCGGAGCGGTTGGTCCCAGTTATGATGTGGGGATCCATCAGCAAATAGTTGTTCGACTTTGGCCTTTTCGCTCTTTCATTCTTATTTGTACGTTTTTTTTTTAGGATGAATACTTATTTATTTTTATGTATATATATATGTATATATGTACGTATTTATAATGAAATTGAGGGTCTCCTGTTATTTCTCACCTCTTTTTTGCTGATGATGCTATTCTGTTCTGTCAAGCTGATAGGTATCATGCTCACAAAATTCTGGAAATCCTTTTTATATATGGTAGTGCCTCTGGGCAATGTGTCAACATTGACAAATCCTCAGTGTTTTTTTCCAAGAACACCAATGATAGATCCAAAGTGGAAATCTGTAATATTCTGAATGGTATTCTCTGTGTTTCCTTATCCAAATATCTGGGCCTACCTTTAGGCCTAGGTAGATCCAAAATTGATACATTTAAATATGTCACAGATAGTGTGCTGAAGAGAGTAGCCAACTGGAAAAATCATTTCTTAAACAATGCAGGTAAGGAGGTTCTTATAAAATCTATCCTTGAAGCTATACCCACTTACACTATGTCCTGTTTCAAATTACCCAAAGGGGTGTGTAAGCATATCTATAGGGACATTGCTAGATTTTGGTGGGGCAAAAATGACCTTGGGGGAAACAAAATTCACTGGTCTGTTTGGGATGTGTTGGCTAAACCTAAGGAAAGTGGGAGAATAGGTTTCAAGGATTTGGGTGTGTTTAATGATGCTTTGCTGGTGAAGCGATTGTGGAGATTGCTAACTCAACCTAATCTCCTTATTAGCAAGGTTTTGAAGGGTAAGTACTATCCAAGGGAGAGTCTTCTGGAGGTTAAATCCAAAAATGGTGACTCATGGATGTGGAAAAGCTGGCTTGGGGTGATGTCTATTCTTAAGTTGGGTATTAGAATACAGGTGGGGGATGGGAAGAACACCAAAATTTGGGACTCTCCTTGGGTCCCCACACTTCCCTCATTGAAATCTACCTGTCAGTTTGAGTCTGATAAGGAGAACCTGGTGTGGGTAAGTGATCTTATTGTGCAGGGAACAGGGAGATGGGATAGAGAATTAGTGGACCAGAATTTTAACCTGGGGGAGCAGCAGCTATTCTTAAGATCCCTATTTCCATCCTTGGTAGAAGAGACAAGCATGTTTGGCAGTTTCACAAGAAAGGCACATTTTCAGTCAAGTCTACTTATCTCAATATCTGGAATAGAACTGAACTGAGAGATAATGGAGCAGAATCTAGTGGCAGCCCTAGTAACAGGAAAAAGCAATGGATGGCCATTTGGAAACTCCCTGTGAAAAATAAACTTAAACATTTCTTATGGAAATGTTGGCATAAGTTTTGCAGTTCTAATGATCAACTCTTGAGGAGACATTTGATAACAGATGGCATATGTAATCTGTGTGGGGAGGATAATGAAGATTTGGACCATATTCTCTTTAACTGTTACAGAGCAAAACTAGTATGGAAACTCAGTGGCATTAAATGGAATTACCTGGAAAGGCAGGTTTCATCTTTTAAAGAATGGTGGGGAGTTGTGAGCAGAGGTAATTGGTCTTCCAGCATCAAAGATAGAGTGAGTCTCTCTACTTACATTCTTTGGTGGCTGTGGAAGACAAGAAACCTTTGGATATTTAGGAAGGAAAGGTTATCTGAAAGACTAACTGCTGAAGGGGCTCGAACAGAATGGTTGGAGTTCATTCAATCTTCACCCTAATATTGAGCAGAAGAAGCCTAGGTGCATTCAAGGAAGGCAAGCTGAGGAGAGAGGTGATTTTCCTAGGGTAGGACAGTGGATGTTGACTGTCAGTGCCTATACCTCTTCCCCTAGCTTGATCTCTGTTGCATATTGTGCTGTTAAAGATGATGAATCCTCAATCAATGTCAAGGAGGAGCTGGTGTTCACAGGTGAAGTAGATGGGATGTGGCTTGAGGCAGTGAGATGGACTTTGATGCAAGCAAGTCAGGCAGGTTGGAGTTCAATTAGCTACATGTTGGCTAATAAACTTCTGGTGGATAAACTGAAGAAAATGGATACCACTGCTCCTTGTCTTGATGTTGTTCTAGAGGATATTTGTAAATTAATTAAAACCTTTTTTTTCTGTTTTTTTATTTTCAGACCTTAGTTTATTGTGTTATTTTAGTGACCTTTTTGTTGTTGTTATTTCGGCCCTCATAGCCGTGTTGTTAAGGGGCCCCTGTAAGCCCCTGTGGAACTTAGCAATCCTTAGATTGCTCGATGCGTAATTTCTGTTTGAGGTAATATATTAGTATTTGTCGTTGGAAAAAAAAAATAAATAAATAAAATGAGCTGGAAAAACGTGTATGAAGTGTGGTGAAAAGGCGAATTGAATGATATATTATTTTTTTTTTTTTTTTTTT